AAAAAAAAAATCAGTCAAAATTGCGTGATTGACTCTGAGCACATCATTTGCAAGTTAAAGAGCATTAAAGTAAAAAAGCCCCAGAGAGGAAGTCACACCTTATCCCACCACCTGGACGGGAAATTGTGGCCATTTCCTTCCAGGCTTTTTTTTTTTAAAGTAACATCTGTCTGTGGTTCAGCTCAAGTTTTAGCACAATTAGGGAACTATTTGATGTTAATTTCTACTTTCTACAAGTGTGTATTTTAACTCCTTTTGGAAAAATTACCCATATGATCCAGAAATTCCTTACTGAAAAATAAACTAAGGAGAACGTGAATGAGATGAAAAAATCCTACAAGTCCCCTCAGGGGTTTAAATGAACCACCAAAATTCAATTCCATACAGTCTACAAAGCTAGTCAGTTTAAACAATTACAAGTGAAACTGTACATTGAAATATTGCAGCATTTGTTTTTCTTAAAGGCTCAGACAATATATGGGTGTACAGAAAACATGGCCTGCTTTTGGGCCAATTCTGACTAATGTAGATCTTCTGGGATGGGATGGGATCACGCCGCCTCATCTGGGAAGTGGATTCAAACTGCTAACCCTTCAGTTAGTTGTCCCCAATATTTGCTGTGCCACGTGGGGACCATTACATTTTTTTAAAAAAAATAAAAGTTATGAAGTCAACTCAGTATACTTAAAACAAAACTCAGGCTGTTTTTGGACAGGAGATTGCACAAGACTTTTAGGTGTAAACTGTGACTCGGGTTTTGGATTTTAGTTTCACCCAAATGTTTCTAAGCTCTCAAGACTTCTTTCCAGCCAACTCTACAATTTAGGAGGCAATTTCTGTAAAATGGGATCATGAGCGGCTGAACATGCATCTCTGGAGAGAAGGTACAGACTGGACAAAGGAAATCCCCAATAAATGCAGGGAAAAGGCAAGAGAGAGTTGCGAGTGCGAAGGTTTTGAGATTGTAATCCTGAAACAAAGACCCTGGGGAGTCGGGGGTGGACTGAAGACAAGAGGTGGTCACCACTAACCACAAAAAGCCAAGCCTCATGCATGAATGGAAGAGAGTGGACATAGTGGTCTATTCTTTATATGATTAGAAAGTTTGGAGCCAAGCTGCGTAGGTTCGAGTCCCTGCTCTGCTGCTCCATTTCTAGAATTCCAGGAGCTGCTGTCCTTCAGACCCCTGAGCAGTGATCCTGGGAGTAACAGCCATTTTTAAGCGAATCGTTGGGAACTAAAAGAACAAAACGCACAACACCTGGCACATTAAAACAGTTTTTTGAAGTGTTATTTAAAAATTATTTCTCCATCACAGATTTGTCCAACAATGTAGTCATTAGCCACGTGTGGTTGCTTAATGAAAATGAAGTAAAAATTAAAAATCAGAATCCCTCCCATAC